TCATTCATTAGCTCCTCAAGGTACTCCTTCCATCTTCCCGTCACACTCTCCTCACATTACCATTCCTATCTTTAATAAGCCTAACCTGCTGCACATCCTTTCCAGCCTGTTCCCTCTGTCTTGCCAATTGGTACAAGTCTTTCTCGCCCTCTTTAGGTTGTTTTCACACCAGATAGTCCGGTAGACTCTGTTTGGTTCGGGACCAATATTCATGACCTTTTGTTTACATTTGAGCTGGTGCGTTTGCATTCACACTGCACTGTGCAGTCGAGCCAACCTGTTGAACCAACCTATCCCCGCGCTCGCCTGTAGGGGCGCTGCACCAAGAACTACTGAAAGAAACGACACAAAAACCTCTGAAGACACGTGTTCTTCTTCTTCTTCTGTAAATAAAAATAAAAACGAAGTGGCATCAAGTTTTAGCAGTTTTAGGAGTTATATTTAGTCATTTTTCAAAAATGGACTTAGCATGAGCAGAAGATGAGATAGAAGACCATGGAGAATGTTGTTTTTTCCACACAAGGCAGCTGATGGCTCTATATAAGGTGAGGGTTGTGCCAGGAATGGCATCCGATGTAAAATACTTTTGCCAAAACAATAATGCGAGTTCGTCAAAGTGAAACCATACCGGATCGGTCGAGGCCCGGGTTAACAACGACTGCCACCGGTGCTGTTGACAAACAGGGTGCCGGCAGAAATTGTGCTACTGTTAGTCCAAGACCACGAGGAGGGAAACGTGTCAGGAGACAGAGGGAGAAGAGGAAAGTGAAGAATGTAGGACTGAGGGTTGCAACTCTAAATGTGGGGACAATGACAGGCAAAGGTAGAGAGCTGGTTGACATGATGCATAGGAGGAAGGTAGATGTTTTATGTGTCCAAGAGAGCAAGTGGAAGGGCAGCAAGGCTCGCAGCATTGGAGCAGGGTTCAAACTGTTTTACCATGGTGTGGATAGAAAGAGGAATGGAATAGGGGTGGTCCTAAAGGAGGAGTTGGCAAAGAATGTAGTAGAGGTGAAGAGAGTGTCAGATAAGGTGATGTGCCTGAAGGTAGAAGTAGAAGGTCTGATGTTAAACATTGTCAGTGGTTATGCTCCACAGGTTGGATGTGATGTGGAGGAGAAAGATACATTTTGGAAAGATCTGGATGAAGTGATAGAGAGTATTCCCAGGGAGGAGAGAGTGGTGATCGGAGCAGACCTGAATGGACATGTTGGTGAAGGAAACAGAGGGGATGAGGAAGTGATGGGTAGGTCTGGTGTCAAGGAAAGAAACCAAGGAGGACAGATGGTGGTGGATTTTGCCAAGAGAATGGAAATGGCTATAGTCAATACTTATTTCCAAAAGAGGAAGGAACATAAAGTGACCTATAAGAGTGGAGGAAGGAGTACGCAGGTCGACTACATTCTGTGTAGAAGAGGA